GGGGAATAAGTCAAAATGTTCATGTCATACAATTCAATCAAGACGACCTTTTTCATGGAGTCATTGAACAGAGACATGTAAATTGTTTGTTGTTTCTAGAACACACGACTCATGCCCCACGGAATACGTTATCCCTCTTGCGGCCCGCCTGTCTGCGACATGTTTCATTATTAAAATACTGTTTTGGGAGTTATGCCAATATCTATGATATTCTCAGTAACTTACCTGATTGTTTTCAACGCGATTCAATTGTTATAATAATATTGCATACCTATTGAATTACTGTTGTTTGTTGTATGGTAAGTTTATTGAAGCGTAACAATGTATTCATGATTTGTTATGAAATACTTCTTATTTATCTTTTTCAATCAAACAAATTATAGTAGGATATATTTTTTTTCATTAAATGTAATTAATTATGCAGAGATATAAGGATAAAGATCAGGTTGTCTGGTTCCCAAGTTGTTTGTAAAAGAATGTTTTTAGCGATAAGGCCGCCTTTTGTATATGCACATTCTATATAAATACTCCTTGTATATTGTGCGCAATAAAGAGTTTATTATTATTATTATTATAAAGATCTTTGGCACTCAGTTTTCTCTGCATACTTCGTAAAGGATTTGACATAAAAATATCTGTAGGTATAAATATATAATAAGTACATATAATATTATAAGAATAATAAATTTTATACAAATAATAACAATAATAATTTATATAAATATTTTTTTAATAACATTTCAAATTATATATCCAAACTTGTCGTTGTTTTCTCATTGTATTATGAAGAACATTATGGAAACATTCCAAATGAGGCGAACTGGATAAATTACTTTCTCAGTGAAGTATAATCATATAGACAAAATGACGTAAATTTTGTAAATAGGACATTTTTATTGGTTAATACCTATTTTATTATATTAATTACATCAATTCTATTTTATGAAGCTCTGGTGACAAAGATCGATGCATAATTTTCTTCGGATAAGCGTAGCATAGAACACTATCTTGAATTAAATATATACATAAATAAACTATTATTAACCCGTGCGTCAGTCTAGGATGATCTGAGTCTATCAGTGTGTAAATATATAAACAACCACATTTTTATATTTATGTACATAATATTAGCGCAGTGTAAAGTATTAAAGTAGTTTTTTATTCTGTGATGTAAGTAAATAGTATTATTAATGCAATTGTAATGTAATAAATTTTATATTTGAATAAATTTAATAAGTTTAATTCAATTTAATAATTATTAGCTTTTACGAACAATTTTGTTCGCGTGGCCGGGATAAAAATATATATGTGTACTAAAGGTAACAAACAAACTCACTTTCAGATTTATAATATAAGCAAGGATTTTATATAAATATAATCAGTGATTAATTTTATATTAATTTTATTCGAATGAGATATTCGACGTGTCCTTAACTGAAGACTAGTGTTTCCCTTCACTCATGTAGTTACATGAGATGGGTCACCCTTCCCTTTGTTTGTGGATTGTCTCGTAATGTAAGCTACGTTGCCGAGCTATCCACAATACAATTTACACGTAGGTACTACATATAATATTTCAGCAAATTTAATTTAGAATTTAATTAAATTTAAAATATCTTCTCAAATAAAATGAATCTACTAGTTAATGATAGGTAGGTTCTTATTCCTAATTAAAAACATATTTATACTGTTTTTTTTTGTATATCACAGAGGTGCGAAACAAGCATACGGCCCATCTGATAATATAAAAGATTTACTGCCGTTGTTTTCATAAAAATTCAAAATGGATCGTGTTATTTTTAGAACAAATTTTTCTATTTTTTCGTTCATTTTTTGCCAAATTTTTATAGTCTTTATCAATTTTCTGACATCAACTACTTACAATTATATTCATTTGTCATTGTTCCTATATAAAGTCAATGTATTATGTTTTTTATGATACTGAGAATGGCACATAAACTAACAGGCCACCTGATGGAAAACAATAACCGTCGTCTATAGACAAGCAACACTATGGCTATCACAGAATACTCTGTACTACCACTATCAGTATCATAATAATGTAATATTGAGAAACTTTCTCTTACAGATAAGTATTTCCACCACCTACAGAAATGTGGAACAAAAACTGCTAATGGGATTTATAGCTCTGTTTTTGATAACAATCATTAATCTGGTTCACTCAGATAATCAAAGATGATCTCGCTAATGAACGTCATTATCCGATATCTGTGCAGATGAGTAATGCAAGATGGTTGGCGGGCAGCGGGCCGCGGAAATTGCCAATTAATGTGTCGGCTCGCCCGCCCCATCTCATATCATCGCCCTTCTTAGGCACAGGCTACACTATAAAATTTTATAATATAATTTAATTTATTATAAAACTAGCATGTATGTATGTAATTTTAATTTTGATGTATTATTATTACCAGGTTAAAGAGGTTTACAGTTTAAACGTATATTTACTAATAATGTATAATAAAAAAGCAATATTTTCGGCAATATTTTTGGGTGCATTTTTTATTTTTACAATTAAATCACTATATCGATTTAATGAACGTTTACCACATATGAAAAATGTTTATTTCCATAACAAAATTGTTACAATACAGGGATCGTTGTTGTGACCTTCTATTAAGTGATATATATACATATAGCTCGTAACATTAGTATGTTTCTTACTATACACAAAAATAACGTAGACACCTACGGATTCATTCATACTATCTTGAGCTCAACAAAAATATTATTTAATAGGTTTTTCAGTTCTATCTGTTTTCGTAGTTTCGAAGTTCTGTACAACAGTTAGTGATTCGATAATTGTTTATCTATAGACACAAACAATGTAAACAGAGAATGCACTATGATGTTTCTTTTATGTATTGCCATTTCTGAGAACTAAGATGTAAATTTCGCGTAAATCCCAGCGTAAAGTAGGCCACATCTTCCTTTTTCGTGAGTATCGTAAGAGACAACCAAGGGAGCATATGGTCGAGGGATGGGTAGTAGTGTCCCTCTTGAAACATCACCCAAAAGCCAAACTGTGGTTGCCAATCCGCCTGCCAAGCGTGGTAACTACTGGCAAAACCCCCCACATGGGGGAAGGCTATGTTTAGCAGTGGACAGTTAATGGCTGATACAGCAAGATGTAATTTACCTTGTAATTTTACTGCCACAATAACATAATGCTATAAATATATAGAACCGACAGCATTTGATAGTGGTCAGTTTTTAACAACTTCTCGTAACATTTCGAATGTGATGCGAATGGATTTGATAATCTCTCGGTGTTATTGGTCGTAAAACAGTGCGTGCAAGGCTTTAAGGATATCTTTTACGGACGTATATTTATTCCGTTCTTCTCTCTGCTCTGAATACATTATTCTTATTTGTAAATAATTACCTCCCTTCCTACACTCGAGGGAGTGAAATCATGACTTGTTTCTATAAATGGCACTTGTAATTAAATTAATGTAAGTAATATAACGGTACGTAAAACAAAGGATCTGCCCATTTTTGCACATATTAAGACAAAAATTTCATGATTATTAATTATCGAAAAATAATTGAAAAACGATAAAAAAATTTGAGTCTTCCATACTAACACAATGACTGAACATATCGTATCAGTATGGGGAGTACAAATTCTTTTGTCTTTTTTTGCCCTTGTTTCTTGGGTTTGTGTTCGGTTTCGTTAATATATAGAACACTGCCTTTAAAAGATACTAACGATTTCGATATCATTTTGTATACCTAAAACGTATATAAATCTTGTATATGTACCTAGCTAAATTACTTATATAATCTCATCGTTTTTGATGCCGGAATCTTTACAAGATAGGTATCTTGAAGTATCTTAATTTTATTGTGATAAAACACTATATTACATGTATCATATTAATCGCTATTAAGATATACATCTGTTTAATATTAATTTCATTAGATAAACATTATCCTGATTATTATAATTATAATAGATGTTAATAAATCTATTGTTTAACTTGGTAATTTAAATTTTATTATATTTTATGTGAATAGAACTAAAATATACAGTTTACCTCTACATAGTTCTGTTATTGGGAGACTTACAATTATCAATTAATTGCGTTGTTAATTAAGATCACATTGTTAAAATGTATTACTTATTGATTGACGATACCTTAACTTGGTAAAATTTTGATTACCTTCGGTATGATATATATACTACTTAGTTATAGAATTTTTAGTTATTGTTATATAGAATGTTGAAATATCTTGTAACTATATACTTTACTGTTATTACTATCCAAATGTGTGTTGTAAATAAAGCATATTTTCTAATTCTTTTTCTCTCTTCTTTCAAATTTTAATATAAGAAATTTAATTGTATATCACATAATACTACAGATATTATATCTATACAGTTGATCGTTGTGAGAGTATTCCTTTATCCACATATACATCTCCATGATCACTCCATGGCGACCATCTCCATGTAATGCATTATAAGATTATACTATAAATTACTATATTATACCATTTTTGTTATTAGCAGGTCGTTGCTATTAATTTAATATATTATCAGCTATACTAAATATCATAATACCTTAGTCCTCATACTTATAATTTATACATTATTAAAGTAGTTAAAATCCCATTTAGACGATTTACAGGCGTACAATAGAAAAAACTGTTAAAGAATCGTATTAAACACAATGCAATAGAAACAATAATCTGCCCAATCGCCAGGTAATCCTGTAACTTCCAGCAGTTTGGTATTAACATTGTATATCCAATGCCTTTTTCCGTGTATCGTCTTAATATCGCGGCCATAACCATCCAACGCAGTTATATTGCCCGCTAAATATGTAATCACGTGTGTGGAAGCGGCAATATAAACGATACATCATAAATTAATAACATTCGACGAGATACAGAAGAGACTGGGTGCAGCTAGCAGGCTGGGCAGGGTTTGATGCGCGAATCTCTTGAGCCCGAGCTACGGCAGTCAGCTACGTGCCGTAGTGGCGTTTGCTACGTCGTAGCGGTTGCTACGAGTTTGAGCGCGCTTCAGTGAACACGTGTATTAACAGATTTATTAATATCGTAATAAATACAAAGGAAAATTAATTTTGTTGTGAAGTGTATATATATATATATTAATAGTGTAAAAGGATTTTACTTTTAATTAACTTTGTTATTTTAGGTACAATATTATAAACTTATTGTCAAGTGTGAATTATTCCTTTGACAATTCGGTTTTAAATTATAAAATTTTGGATTGAGATGTAATAATTTTTAAAATTCAGCATATTACGATATTACTCTTCTGTATTATAAAATAGTTTAAAAACTAATATAATAATAACAAATAAATGTAATATTTGATATGAATGAATATCGAATTATTGTTACTGCTTATAATTATATCCAATAATTTTCCCATTAACAGCACGTTCTTGTCTTTGTCAAACAATATAAAATTTATTGATATATTGTCAGCCCAAAATGTTATGGAGGTATTTTCAAGAAAACGTTAAAACAAGACATCGTTAATTCAATTGCTTGAATCTCAAGTAACAGAATAAACGATATCTTAAACGAAAGTCCGTGAATTCCATTTTATTGTCAAATAAATCTTAACAGAACATTGTGTCACTTCACTTGAGGCTTATTGTTAATTCTATTGTTTGTGAAATAAAGTGTATTTGAATAATGTTTAGAGTAGATATAAATAAAAAAATAATGTTCACTCCTCTATGGTTCGTGAGCATAATAGCTCTCTTGATAGTGGATGTGAGGACTGGTTCTTTACAACAAAAAGGTAAGACTCTAAATATATAAAATAATTTAATGATTACTTTTAATAACACCGAAGTACGGCATGACACAACTTTCTCATCATGACAATACTAAATAATAGGATAACAAAATGTATATAATTATATTGATATTTGCAATTTTCCTATATTGTGTATCGCATACAAACAAGAGTCACACACACACACACACACACACACACACACACACACACACACACACACACACATACACACACACACACACACACACATGCACGCGTGCGCACTTATACACACACAAACACATCTTGCTTTTCTCTCAAATTGTATTTAAGAGAAAAATGATAAACTTAAAAAAGTGATAAAAAACCGAATATGTCGTATACGGTATACATATATGGAGACGAATTGTACATGATGTTTTTGATGTATTTTTAACATGGGATAATCCATGGGAACAGTTAATTATCCTTTTATTCAGTTAACAGGAAAAAAATAAGTATTTATTGAGAAATCTAAAAAGAACTATATTGTCAATTAGATTAAAACAAAACAGTCCTATAAGCACATAACTATCATTTATAAATCTTAGATTTCTTAATAAATTCATAGTTTAAAAGTTAATTTTTTTTCCTATTAACTAAATAAATAATAGTCAAACACAAGTATTAAGTAGCCAAACCTCGAATGGCGTTGGCGCGGCGTTGAGGCCGAGTTATGTAAACTCGTTAAAATTTCTCTCCAACGATATTCAAACAGTAATTGTCGCATTCATTGTAAGATAACTTTTGTTCTGTTACTTTTAGTTATTATACGTGCTATTTAATAAATAATAAGTACCATTTGTTAGAAACGAACGCAAGGCCACGCGTTTTGCTATCCTATATATACTCCAAAGATCATAAATTTGGATTGGATGAAAAACTCTATCTAAATTTACATTTCCAAATTAACTTACCATTAGTCCCCATCGCTATCAATATACGTTATCAGGTCAACCTCCCCGCGGTTCCCACTGGAAACCATCGTGACTAATTTATTGTTGAATTCGTCAGGATGGGCTAACTGACCTGCCTTTTCATCCTCATCAATTATCTCTCACTGGTGCCCCGTTAGTATATACCGATAGCGTAGGCGGAGTTACCATTCCATTATCATCTATAAAAAAATTAACTTACCAGTAACTCAAAGTACTAGTACATATTTAATTTGAGAGACGTTATGTCCTCTTTTACGTTACATTTAAATGTGGTAAACGAATGCAGCTTGTGGGAAAGACCAATGTTACCATTAGCAACGATTAGTGATGTTAAGTAATTAAGTTTATTTGATAATGGCTAAGCAAATATAAAAAGGCGGAAGAAAATAATTGAAAAATACAAGGATTCGAAGGAAAGGCAGCGATGCTATTGTTACTAAATAAATAAATGGTTACAAGAAGCGAGTGGCCTGACTGGATTCCTTTCGTGAAACTGTTAGAAAGCGAACAATAGGGATACCTCACACGAGATCCGGTCTCTCAAAAGAGTCTAAATGTTTTTCTTAACAACAATATGGAATGTATGCAAACAATTTTTATATTGTGTTGGATAAATAATCGAATAGTTACAAATTTTCTTGTGCTATTATTGCTGCAATGTAGAAATTAATTTTATTTTTGTTTTTGGATGCGTGTGAATATGTCAGGTGTTGTTTTGAATTTTCATGGAAGATAGATAATATATATATATATATATATATATATATATATATATATATATATATATATATATTATTTTTTCTTATATGATAAACTTTATTTTATGAGTAATTACAGGGTACTATATTATAATTTTTATTTGTAAAAAATACAAAATCAATGTCAGTGTCGACATTTATTAATCAACTACAAACACATAATATATGTATTTGATACATATATGGATTTATAATTATACAATCGAAATAAATCTTACTATATATCTTGAAATGAATCAACAATTATTTCTGCCATTACAATTATATTATTTAGCAATTTCAATTTTTTGTGGTTAATTATGTTCAAGATACATATGTAACTTCGTCCAGTTTTTTAAATATCTCTTTATAGTTTTATTTACCATGCTAAGTTTTATTATACTCGTATGAGTAATACTCATTATATCTATAATAAGTATTAGTTTAAATTTTAAATGTAGATATAAAATATGACGTAATGTATACCTACCTACAGGAATAAGAAAATACTAGCATTCTCTCAATTTAATGTAATTCGATAAAGGAATCACGAGTCCACGATTAATTTAGTACATTGGTAAACTAATAGGAATTGATGTTTATGTAACTCATTACTTACATAAAATGGATTAAGTATTTAGAAATTAAAGGAATAATTCTTAATTTTGTTGTTATCTTTTTTTAAATGGATGATAATGGGATGATAATGCCTGCCTTGCCCTACCTGCGCTAACAGTATACACTGGCACTGTACCAGTGACGGATTATAAGTGAAAATAAAAAGGCAAGTCAGTTAGTCCATCGTGTTGAATTCACTTGGAATTGAACAAGATGATTTTCTGAAAGAACCGCGAGGAAGTCAACCTGATAGTAATGGAACTACTAATCGCTATTATTAACAGTCTCTTCTCCCTACAATTCGTTGTTATTATGTATCTACTGCAATCATTAAAGAAAATTATGTTGAAGAATATTATTCATCAAAATCCAGATATAGAATAAACGAAGGCTATTTATATGTATATGTACAATTTGAATGACAAACAAATAACGACTCACCATAAGACCGGTGACCATCGCTTAAACATATACATAAATATGAAATGATAACCCGTTAAAAAAATATTACTACCTTGGATGGAGGACGAAGGAGAACCCTTTTTATAACTTACAGGATATAAGTAATAAAATTTTCATAAATTTAATCCAGAGAACCCCATAAGATTTTGTTAGTAACCTAATATGATTACGTAGGTCGAGCAACTTGGCATAGAGTTCTTGTTTTGAGATTTTCTTCTCTTGTATTGGTGTTTTTTACCTATTTTTCTCAATTCCTTTGGTTATTTTTTAAGATATCGAAGGGATTAATTGAAGTGGAGATATATTGTATTTTTGTTCCAGAATACTATTTCATACAGAACACAGATAATATAATACTATATGATACAGAATGAACATTGATAATATCAATTTAAAACCACAGAAATGCCTGTGATACTCTACTTGTATTGCCATTCGGTTCGACTTTTGGTCGAGCCAAATTAGGAAATGATTTTTTTCTGAATTGGGTCAAGTCTGGGTATTCTGGGTGTAGCCCTATATATTTGTTGCCTGGTTTCTCATAACACAAGGTATCTTTGCTGGAGAACTAAATAATTGTTGTGATTATATATCACTTATGGTGACACTGATGAACTACTAGACTCAGACTGACCAGATTCAATTTGTACATTTGATGTCAATATACTAGTCTTAGGTGGAAGAAATTGGGAGATGAAATGATTCCTTGAGTCTTGTTATATACATATCTATATATTTGCCAACTATTTACAGGAATATTTACAAGAAATAGTTAATAATGGTTGATAATCAGGATGAATTCATTATTTATATATAATGGCCAATTTATTGTCCCCGTCTTATTATTAATATTCCTGATGGTTAAGACGTAATGCCTCTGTACTCACTAATTTCATTGTAACAATATTCCATTTTCGAAAATCGAAGCACAGTCATACAAAATTATCGCTACAGATTCTTGCTAATACTCAACGTTCAGAGACAATAAAGGGTTCATTCGTACCTAACGCCCTACCGATTTAATAATGTAATAATTGAATAGATACGTTATTAATGTTACAAAGTCATGTACTTATAAGTGTGTTCGGGATTTGGAAGACTTTAGAGTTACAGAAGTGTTTGTGTATACCCAACTTCGCAAACAGAAACTTGTTTGTTATGATAGGTAGTAGTGTCAAGGGTCGTCCCAGTTGCCTTGAGTTATTGTACAACTGTCTTAAAGCAATTACTTAAGAAGTATATAACGATATATCATGCTTATTTCTTGCTAGATAGTTTAGGAGCGTTCGAGTACGCAAATTTGTATTGTCTAGTCAAAATTTAATAGCTTTTCATTGTTCTTCGTTTATAAACGCATTCATTCGCTTTAATTTAATATAATAATATAAAATTATCCTGAAAGTAAATTAAATTCATCCAATAAAAAAGTGATAATATGATATAATATATATTTATATTGAATAGTCAACATTATGTATCAAGTGTTTTTATACAAGTGATAATATATATATATATATATATATATATATATATATATATATATATATATATATATATATATATAAAACTTTTTTATGTATATGAAAGTTAAATAAATAAATTAAAAAAACAGTCGAATTTAATTAATCTCTATTTTGAATGCAGTAGATGAAACAAAAATACCAGTCGATAAGCATCACGTTCATATAAAGGGAGTTTTCTTTTTAGTTATTAATGGGATTTAAAAACTAATTAATGGGTTTTTTAATAATTAAATAAAAAAATTACAATAATAATTTATTAAAAGAGTTTATGCGTGAGTGATGATTATAATTTTGTATAAGAATTTAAAGTTTCATTTCTTAAAATGTAAATTTGTGTATAATAAAAATTTGTGTTTATATACCTTAATTATTTACGTTACCAGTCCTAATATTTTACAAATTTCTAATAATATTTCAAATAAACCATAATATAGACAAATAACGTGATAATTCTACAAAGTATTCATTTTTATCCTTTGATTTATATCCTAATCGTAAGTAATATTTACACTTGTTGTTTCTTTTTTCACATATCAATATAATTAATTGATAGGTTATTTTAATCCTCTACTAAGAACTTCGTAGACATTACTTAGACACTGGAAAACTTTCTTAAGTTTTTCACTACAATCTCTATAAATCTATTACAACTTTTCTTAAGTATAACAAGATCACAGTCAGTCTTGCTGTCGTCTATAATTGTAATATTTCAGTAAGACTAAATCTATTTTTAAATATTCTTGTCTAGTAAGCAATTTGATGTTTAGTGACGATGTCTTTGCCCTGTATATATTGGAAAATGGTGCCCGAATCGATTAAATTTTAATATAAATCCTGAGAAACTACAAAATTATTTGTTTTCTTATTTAAACTAGAAAAATTTCTTCTCTGATTTTTAAAACAATTATTGATCTTATACAAAGTTTCGTAAAAAAATTTATCCATTGCATTTGTGATTAGCCCTTCAGATTAAGTACTGTTGCTGTTCTATGTTAAGTATGAGAAAAAAGATTTTTAAATTTACATATCACTACTATAAACAGATGCCTAGTAAAAAAAATAGAAATTTTCACAGACTGGATAATATTTAGATAAAACATTAAATAAAAATTGAATATAAGATATATTTGGATTTTAGTCAAAAAAGAGATCGAGCTTATAATAAAATTATTGAATGTAGATAGTTTCAACCCAGTAGGTATGCAATAAATTACAATGACTAAGTTATTTACATTCCTATCTTTATCTTCAGCTTTAGATAAGGTATTTCCTATTATCATCACTGTCGGGTTAGAGATCAGAGAGTTGCTTGTATTTTACACAGCCGACATACCATCTGATAAGAACGACTAGATACCTAAAGCCTTCTTAGGTTAGGCTGATTTACTGACTGTCATTTGATAAGTAAATCGAAAGACTTTAATTCGTCCAGTGGACACTCTATAGCTAGTAAAATAAAATTGTAAACAAAGTAAACCACCGGACTATTACTTCTTAAAATATATATATTTCAAATACAGGAAATAAGAAATCAATTTTATACTTATAGTGAAGAAATATAACCTGTTCATCTTCATTTTATGCCAGTAAATTAATTTTTCACTTGCTTATTTGCAGGCGAGAAGGCCCAACGGTGCTACTTCTGCCCTTATACTAACAACACATGTGACCATTTCTGGCACCTGCAGATTGAAAACTGCTCAGGAAATACTCCGTACTGTGCCACTGTCGCCTTTTCACCAAGTTAGTATAATTTATTTCATCTTATCTAACATATAAAAATTTCATAATAAAGCGTAATGGTTAAAGATACTTTACTAAGTTATTATACAATATTTTAAAACCACCTAGCAAATAAGCATAACAATGCCTGTGTCAGGTGTTCCAAGTCCACATCTTTCATTCACATCCGGGCCATTCGTATGTTCTATAAATAAATATCAAAAATTAATATAAATACATAAATACAAAAATTATTAAAACAAAATAATTTTGTGTTTATATTTATATTATAAGAATGTGTGGGCGTGTGGGGTGAGTGAGTGAGTGATTTCTCAGAATAATTATTACAATATAAAGGAATAAAATTATATAGCCTGGCAACAAAATTAATTAATGTCTCTCGTGAAGTAATTTTAGGCACGAGAATAGACGATGGTTTTATTTAAATACTAGTTTGGTTTTTAAAACACCACATAGAAAAAACTGTTTTCGCATTAATGTAGAATATTAATAGAGAAAATAAACGTGTGGTCCTGGCATAGAACAGACCACCCCTTCCTTTCCTCTGGGTGTCGCAAGAGGCGACTTAAGGAACTTAACGGTACAGGGATGGGCAGCAGTGTCCGTCTTAAAACATCTCTAAAAGCCTAACTGCAGTTGCCATCTCGCCTGCTAAGTGTGGCAACTGTTGGCAAAAATCTCCTTATGTTCAGCAGTCGACAGTTAACGGCTGAAATGGTGATGATGATTAATAGAGATAAACAATTACATTTTTCTAATTAAAAAATGAATATAATTACTTATTATAAATCTTTTACTGATTTGGCATGAAAATAGACATGTAAAATTCTTATAAAAGCATTAATTAAAAGTTAATTTTTATGGACCTTAGAATGACAAACAAGCTTCCGTCCGTCCTGATGGAAAATGGTAACCATAGCTTATATTCATAAACCGAACCATAGACATTACAGAGTATACTGTGTTGTCCATAATACACATCATACTTTTGAGGACTAAGGTGTTATAGTGAATTTCATTGTCATATATCACCCTTCAAACCGAAATATAGCCATGCAAATACAAATGCTTCATGGCATAAACACGAATGGAAAAGAGGTATCCAATCCGTTAATTTTTGTGCAAAGTCTCTTTCTGGTAAAAGCATTTCTATATCACAACATACATTTCCTGTAGATATTAATATTTGAATTATCATAATCAAATAATTTTAAATTATAAGTTGATAAATTCTTTTATTTTGACAGATTTTACATCGTTCCTTCAATGTGCTGCTCCAGCGGAGGTGCCGTGTACGTTAACGTATTCGGCGGAAAAATATGAACTGAAATGCATCTGTGCTGGACACCTGTGCAATGCACCGTTTTCGTTAAAGTTATTAAATGATTTACATAATTTCTCGACTTCAAATGTACCCAAGAACACTACTGCTGATTTTACAGATAGTTTCTTTAAAAGATATTCGACCACTAATATTACTGATAAGAATATTTATAAACTAATAACAATTGAACTGACTCAAATAACCGAAGTAACGGAACATTCTTCCCAAAATGTGTCGCAGATAACGACTGTTAGTACTGTGACGACCATGCACACTGTTACGCATTCAAACGAAATAGACATTCCTCGGGCTGAAGCTCGGAAGCAGGAAGCTGCAGCGCCTTCCGATGACGACGAAGACGAGAGCGAAGGCAGTGGATCCTACGATGAAACGAAGTCTCAAAGACATCCACCGTCGGCACCCGCAGCACCTAGTTCCTTCTTGCCAGCCAACGAAAATAGATCATCTGCTCTTTACACCAAGCTTTTTCTAACGACATCAATCTTTGTTTTCTTTATAGTGTAGATAGATTTTAGGTATATATAAAAATAGTGTATAGAGTATTTACTACTATTACTACTATAAGCGGAGACAGCTAAATCGAAGAATGTTTTGTTGCGAGGATTAAAACAAATCCGAAATTTTCTAAATTTTTCATATTCATCATTAGGCCATTTAGATACGTGTATAATTATAATTTGCTTCATGCTTCGGCGGATTACATAAAGTTGTCACACGGCAAGCCACGTCAGTGATCTTTTTGTACAAAGAAGGCAGCCTAGAACCTCTTGACATTGAAACCTTTACACACAAGTAGTAATAGTAGAGTATTTCAAATTATGTATTAAGTACAATAACTTAAAATAATAATTTATAATTTAATTAAAAGACCCAGAGAATTTAATTCGATAAAATTGGTAGTGTTTACCTTTTGGGAACAAATATATAGGTACATTTTGTAATTCCTTCTTAGATACATTACACAAGGTTTTAAGCCTATGTAAAAAAATACTTCTGAGTCTATAATTGGAACGATATAGTGTTTCTTTAATTACGAATAATATAGAACTTAAACAGCTAGGTAATAAATTCAGAGAAACGTACTTAGAAAAAGTGCATGTATAAACTTAAGTATCAAATCTCCAAATAAATAAAAGTGGATGGTTTATTTGTGACTAAGATATACTTTATTTATGAAGTATATAGAAATTCACCGGTATGACCGAATTATTAAATTAACAGGAATTTGTGAACTAATTATTACGAATTGTGATACTGTAATTACGTGCCAAAATGTCGTTTTAAATAACGACGTGTACCATATACAAATATTTGATTGAATAATTTAGTATTCCAAAAGTATAAAAAACCAATTTACATGCAATAATTACCAGCATTTATTTATTGATAACTAGATGAGCAAAACATGTATAATTTTTTTTTTGTTAAAATTAGTTTTATTATTTTTTATTATTTTAATAAACTAAACAATATTCATATGTGCAGTTTTTTTTTAAATTATTATAAAAATATGAGTAGTATTATACCTATTCTTATTCACCCTATGTAATGAAATAATTATGTAAATGACATCGAATATTAATTATAAAGTTATATAAATAGTAATATTTTAATAAAAACATAAATTAATTGTTTTCTCAATGAAACTGCCAAACGTAAATACGAGTAGTATTTTCTTCATTAAATTGCTATACAGATTTAAATACCATAGATATATATTATTATAAAGAATTCACACATTTCGCTAAGAGCAATCACTAAATAAAATTTTCCTAAATGAATACGAAAAAATACGCAAATGAATTGATTTTCTTGAAATACATTATAGATAGCACATATACGTATTATGCATAAATTCATCTTATTAAAGAAATACCTTCATATCGCACCACGTAATGTCTTCATAACGATCTTTTAGATATAGTGTCAATTATGTAATTTCAACGTTATCAGTATGATTAAGTTGTTTAAGGAAAGTTGTTGTGATTTATGAAATAAAGTACTGTGACATTTCATTCTTTTATTATTACACAAATGGAGTTAGACTATTTCTTCAGGCAAAGGAAACCAAATAATTATGCTCATGACTGTAATCCCTGATAGAGTATCAGAGATATTTGGGGACTACTGTTTTAATGGCGAAACTTATATTCCATCACAATATGGCCATAATTGCGCCGAGCATATTACAATCAAATAAATATTTCTTATTAAATTAATAGTTATATCAGATGTATATTTATTACTGTTATCCAAGATAGACGACAGTGATAAATAGGTACTACTAGATATTAATACTTTTTCGTAACATATTACCAACCTTGTTTTACTATAGTTATTGTTTATATCGACAATAGGTACAATATTGATTATGATAATAATAAAATTAGCGGTCCCTAAACAAAAATTAATGACTTTTTAGATTTCACATCATTGTAATTTTAAAATTAATTTTCTCAATGAGTAAATTATAATCGGAAATGTGGGAGTTAGCATGACCTGGAAACAATAAAAGCGCAAAAAGTCGAGGGAATAATTTGATTTACTGCTGACTTCGTAGTCGGTCCACCGCCGAAACCTTTTACAGACACGTTTCATAATAAAAGCTTCGCGGCTTAAATTCCTGACTTCATAAAGAATTTCCTTCAGAATGAAAGCACTGTAATGTTATTCCGATCGTTACTTTATTGTAGTCGTTTGCTTTCAAAGGTATGGTAGTGCCTTCGTTAATATTGTTTTCCTTCCTTTTGTTATTACGGGTAATTGTTACAGATTTTTTGTCGGTTTTCTCTTTGAGTTGGCGGCGCGCTGTACTTCAAAGAGAACTAATTTTAAACTCTGTGATTAAAAATGACGCTCATTTTGTTTTTAACCACTCGCTCGCATTATCGTGGTCGTCTTAAAATTAATAATTAAAAATCTCTTCATTTTAATATAAGCTAAGCTTAGTTCGAAATTAGGTAAACACTGTGAAATTGATCTCAATTGAATAGGGTGCAGTAAAATATACAATGTGTATACTTGAATCGTGCTATATGTATCGAATCAGAACAAAATAAATAAATGAATACAACATTAAAAAAATATAGCACAGGTTCCGCCTTTTACTGCCTGGTTTTTGATATCGTTTAAAATACGAGTACAGTATACAACAGCCTAAAATTATATAATAATGAAAGGTTCTTATAACGTCTGTTAAGGGTCAGTTTATTACCAGACGTAATTTATGATTCTTGCAAAAACTGGTTTCATTAGCAGAAAAATATGCGTATAGTTCTCCAATCTCCTACTTAATTCAGTTTTAAAATATCACAGCAATTTATAATGATCTTATGATGTTCAATTAATATTACTAGTTTGTTGGATTGTTTTATATCTCTTATAAGCCAATTTGTTTCAAGACCTTTGTATAGAAATTTGGAACAGAATAGAAACCTGACAGTTTTAATGAAAATTATATTGATAACCGTCGACAACATTGATGAACAGAACTTTATAGACATTAAAGATTACAACGACAGTGATACTTTAGTAACTATTTCTGTAAAAGACAAGTTCTTAAAGATTACATTATTGCAATAAACATAGACGTACCTATTTAACAAACTCTTTTTTTTTAAGTCCTTTAAAAAGTCTTATTTCGACAACAACCCCTCGAACAAATAAGTATACCTATTCGGTATAATACCTATTGGCAGGCAAATACGAATGAGACAATGCCTCGATTATGCTTGAACTGAAGCTCGCCGCCTATTTACCTAATTATCATTAACACTGGTTCTCGCCTATGATTCTCGACTATGAATTATTTCCATTTCAAACAGATTTTGTTTTAATGTATATTCTAAATTTAATAATTTACTCCCAGGAAATAACTAAGTCTCTTGCTTCGTATTATCAATAATCAAAATATGAAATTTGAGATATTGCTCGAGCTCCTTTCGTACTTAAAAGTTTTTTATGCCCCTTCTATGTAAGAAATGTAATATTTCTTACATAGAAGGGGCAAACTGTAGAAATTAGTTAGAAGAATAATATAGTTATTGTAAAATTCAATATATGAGCATTTGTAAATAGACGTATTCTATGGTGCCCATGTGACCATAGATATTTTTTTTTATTGATGGGTGAAAATGTAATGGTAACCTCGCCTGCGCTAACGGGATACGCTGGCAAGGCACCGGTGAAGGGTGATAGATGAGAATGAAAACAGGCCAGTTAGCCCATCATGATGAATTCATTAGGAATTAACTATGATAGTTTCCAGGGAGAACCGCGAGGAGGTCGACCTGGTTAGGTATATTGCTAGCAATGGCAATCTCAGTCTCCATTACTAACAATTCCTTTCCCCCCTGATCATAGATATTATCTATTATAAATGACTTTATAGTAGAGAATGTTTGCCAATCTATGAAATGAGTTACGTTATTTGCTATTAATATTAGAAGCTTAAAAAGTTTCCATATATTTTACTTCAAAACAAAAACACAATAAAAAGAACGACTATACGTTATTTATTTCTTTTATGTCATTTAGTTAGGTTTTTCGTGGAACAATTACACCAATAATATTTTTTACAATAATACCTATTTTCAATTGAAGTGTCTGCGAATTTGTTTTTAATATGATTATAATATGAGTGTTTTTAAATACATATTTAATTCACATACACACACTCGGTCTCATAGTAGTATGTAATTGTTTGAAATCCGTTTGTAGATATTAGAAAGTTCTGATATCGAAGCAGTCGAGTTTTTATAGTTGTAAAAACATTACCGGGGTGGTTTGGGTACAATGAAAGAAACTTCTTTCATCGCATCGTTGAGCGCTTTATGTGTGGCCTGTTCGCGCCACTGTTCTTGCTATTCTACAAGCATTTTGAAATATAGATATAACTAAGTTTTGTTTTCGTCTCCTTTGTTCTTTTATAAGTAATCCTTACTAATATTATAAATATGAAAGTATGTTTGTTTATTTTGTCTCTGCGCCTTAACGGTTTCGCCAATCACTATGAAATTATATACACGTAGTATATAAGACGGATAAGACTATTATAGGCTACTTTTTATCCTGTTCAGTAAAAATATCTCAGTCACGAGGACGAAGTCGCGAGTAAAAGGTTGTAAGAAATAAATGTAATTGTTCTTATTAAGCGTCTAGACTATTTGTAACGTTAGAACAACATAAATGACAACCGATTGAATCCTCATTTTCTTAAAACCTTTTTTCTATTTTCATTCAATTTTTTTAAATCTGATCGGAGACCATAATTGTAATTTAATTAATATTGTCATAAGACTCTTTTTATAAAAAAAGAATTCTGCCTATATGATATCAGTGTACTATTACTTTATTGGCCAGATGGCTTGGTATGGGGTTTTATTTCGAATTTTCCTGTTCACACTGGCATATTGTGGTTTGATCCCCTTGTTGCCTTTACGCCTCCTATCCCATACCAGGGATACCGTAAGAAGCGAAAGGGAATGGTGATAAATAGATTGAGGTCGATTCTGAAATGCCATTCCTATCCTAAACCAAAGAAACCTATTTCTAAACTAAATTATTACATTAAAGACCATTAAAAACCAAATTTTAAGTACATAGTTCTCGAAATAATAATTTCACTGCAATATCAAACTGAAATTTTAGTTATAAAGATGTAGACAACGGCGCACTAGAATCGACTCAATTATTTTCTTACACCGTTACCATCCATAATATGTCTTAATCTAACAAGCATGTTTATTATCAAGAAAATTATATGAACTGTGATTATACACGAGTATATATAGTTTAATACATACATATCTGTCACGCCTGTTTCCCATAAATAGTGGAATATATATATATATATATATATATATATATATATATATATATATATATATATATATATATATATATATATATATATATATATATATATATATAATTTAATAAAACGGGAATTTTATTAACTTACTTTTTTACTTATGCGCTCTGCAAACTGCGGCCTGAAGAAAAGGCGACTAAGGGAGGGCAAGGGATGGACAGAAGTTCCTCTTAAAACATCTCTAAAACCTAACTGAGATTGCCAATCCACCAGCTAAGCATGGCAGCTATTGGCAAAATCCCTCAAGACGGTGGCTTATGTCAGTGTACAGTTACAGACTGATATGATGATGATGATGATGATGATATATTTATATAAACATCGTTAACAATGAATGTAATGAATATAAGCTTTAAAAATAAAAGATTCTATACTGTTTTACTTTGTACTCGTATATATTATTAATATGCTTGATAGTTATACGTTATTTAACTACATAAATCAATGTGAAAAGAAGCGCGGCGCGACAGCATCAAAAGGCCTTTATGGCCCTTTGTTAGCCTGCTTTTACTCGGCCCGGTTTATCGTCGCCATCCGATGAAAATCGGTCAAGCTAGTAATCTATATGTGTGCATCTATTTAACCAGATAGTTTAGCTATATGCGGTCACGTGTTTTTCTTCTATTATAAATGGGAAAGTGATTTTCTAATTGTCATTGTATACTTTTATATATTTGAAGGAATAAAGAGTTAAATAAAGTGAATTTATTTGTTACCTACTTGAAATATACGAAGAATAAACGAAGTGGCGGGAAAAGACATGTATACTAATAAAATAAGCCATTATATTTCACTAGATTTCTTTTTTATCTTATGCAAAAACTTTTCTAGTTCTAAATTCATTTTGATGATCGTTTAATCAAATTAATATTTTTGTTTTATCTAAAATTAATTGTTTAAATTATAATTATTTTTTTTACTGACGATGAAAGATGTCGCCTTCTATGTCTGGTTTTTATCAAACTGTTTCCATGAGATATTACTAGCATTATTGTCAGTATAATTAATGTTTCTACCGTGAAGCAGTTGTGTTTGAAGGGTAGGATATGGCACTGAATTTACAGGGTACAGAGGAATAACACCTGAGTCCTCAGGAATGGCAACGCATGCGAGGTATCATGGGCGAAATAGTATACTCTGTTA